ATCCAGAGCTGGAAAGTAACTAGTCATTAAAAGCTAGGCCAACAGGGCTTTGCAATCAGTTATTTGCAGTTATTCTCAGCTCTCTCCGTTTGCAAGTTTGGTGTTTGCAAATTTCATTAAAGTGCTTTCTCTAGGAATTTCTAGGACTCTTTTTACAATCTGTAGCAAAAAAAAAAAAAGATCCCCAGACCTACTTGAGTTGTCCACTTCTGGTATCTATCTATGTCAAAGTATGTATGTATATTTGTACCACAAAGGCTCCTACATGTCTTCATGGATCTGCCCCAAACTTGGCACATATCCCCTTCATTACCAAACGTAAAATAATTGCAGGATTTCAACTACAAAATCCATCTCATTTTGGGGCAAGGGCACTGAAAAGATAAAAATATGTATGCAGCACACCAAAGCAGAGCAGTATAGAGATAGAAAGGATTAGCTGCAGGTGTATAGGTATGTACTGCACATATACAATGCTCAAATGCAACCACAAGAGGGTAGTATATAGATAGAAAGGATTAGCTGCTGGCCTATAAGTAGGTATATATGCAACACTCAAATGTAGCCACAAGAGGGCAGTATAGATAAAAAGGATTAGCTGCTGGCCTATAGATATGTATGCTATATGCAGTGCTCAAATGCAACCACAAGAGGGCAGACTATAGATAGTTGTTACTCATTCATTCAGTCGTTTCCGACTCTTCGTGACCTCATGGACCAGCCCACACCAGAGCTCCCTGTCGGCCGTCACCACCCCCATTTCCTTCAAGGTCAGTCCAGTCACTTCAAGGATCCCATCCATTCATCTTGCCCTTGGTCAGCCCCTCTTCCTTTTTCCTTCCATTTTCCCCAGCATAACTGTCTTCCTTAAGCTTTCCTGTCTTCTCATGATATGGTCAAAGTACTTCATCTTTGCCTCTACTATCCTTCCCTCCAATGAGCAGTTGGGCTATAGATAGTAAATATTAGGTATCTAAATATGCAGTACTCACATGCAACCACAAATCCCAGTGTATAGATAGAAAGGATTAGCTGCAACACAGGCTTGAAGGCCACAGCAGGGACATCCACTCCATAAGGAAATAACCAACATAATGCAGATTTAGATTTTGAAAGTTGTGTGTGTTGTGTGTGTGGCTTGCTCTAAGGCTGAGAGACTGTGACTTCCCAGAAAGGAAAGGTATGAGGGAAAGCAAGGGAAGAAGGAAAGAAAGGAAGAAAGTAGAGAGGAAGAAGGCGTACGAGGGAAAGAAAGAAAGAGCCACAAAGAAAAGGCAACCAAATCAATACCAGGTGCACATGCTAGTGAATCACTAAAAATAAAGCCACAGCAGGCAAAGAATCCAGGACTATTGAGCTCCCTTTAACAAACCCACTGGGATTTCTCTGCCAATGTGGTTGACCTGGTGGCCCTTGAGATAAAATGGACTGGCAAATAGCTAAAGTGAGAAATGCAACTGCTTCCAAAGAACCATTATCCTGTTCGATATGTGCAGGGAATGCAATGTGCTGGGGATTGTGAGGGACTTCAGGTTGAGCCTCAAAGACAGAAATGGAAAAAAGGGACTATAAAAGTCCTCTGGCGGGATCAATTACTATCAGAAGAAGGCAGTGAGCAATTAAGGCCTAATCTGTGCAAACATTTCAACCCTGAAGCCGGGACAGTCAATTGCCTGGGCCAAGGGTTTATGGCGCCGGAAAGGCCTTTGAGCAAACAGCAGGGGCAGGGGAATTGTAATGCAAGGGCCGATGCCCATCGATGCTTCTTCCGCCAAATGGAGACATTGCTCTGTGTGTGGAGCTCATGGGTCTGTGTTGTGTCCACAGGGTGAGGAAGGCAGGCAGGATTTCCAACTCAAGGAACTCAGAGCTCTCCAAGGTCCTGCCCTGAAACACAAAACAGATTTGCTGTCCAAAGGATGTAGAAGTCACCAGATGCTAATACTTATACCTCTCCAATCACGCAAAGAGAGGACTTCCTTACTTCCTGATTTTCTTCCTCCCCTCCCTCCCCCTTGCCTTTCTTCCTTGTTTTCCTTTCTTCTACCCTTGTTTGTTTTCCTTCCTTGTTTGCTTCTCTTTCTTCCTTGTCTTCCTTCCTTCTTCTTTCTTACTTTCCCTCTCCCATCTTGCTTGCCTTTCTTCCTTGTCTTCTTTCCTTCCATCCTTCCTTGTTTTCCTACTTTCTTTCTTTCTTTCCTTCCTTCCTTTCTTCTTGTTTGGTTTCCTTCCATCTGTCATTCCTTGTTTTTTTCCTCCCATCTTTCCTTGTTTTCCTTCTTTCCTTGTTTGTTTTCCTTCCATCATTGCTTGGCTTCCTTACTTTCTGTTTTTTTTCATTTCCTCCCTCCCTTATTGCTTGCCTTTGTTTCTTGTCTTCCTTCCTTTTTTTTTCTTGTTTGTTTGTTTTCATTCCTTCCATCATTCCTTGTCTTCCTTCTCATTTTTCTTCCTTTCCTTCCTTCCTTATTGCTTGCCTTTCTTGCTTGTTTTCCTTCCTTGATTTTTCCTACCTTGTTTTCCATCCTTCGATCATTCCTTGTCTTCCTTACTTCCAATTTTTCTTCCCTTCCTCCCTCATTTCCTTGTTTTTCTTCCTTCGTCTTCTTTCCTATTTTTCTTCCTACCCTTCCCTTCCTCCCTTCTTGCTTACCTGTTTTCCTTGTATCTTTCCTTGTCTTCCTTTCCTTTCTTCTTGTTTGTCTTCCTTCCTTGTGTTTTCCTTCCCTCCATTCTTCATTGTCTTCCTTCCTGTTTTTCTTTCATCCTTCCCACCCGTTTCCCTTCCTTCCACTCTTCCTTCCTTCTTCTCGTTTAACTTCCTTCCTTCCTTCTTTCCTTCCTTCCTTATTTGCTTGTCTTCCATCCTCCCTTTTTTCTCCCCCCTCCCTTTCTTCCCCTTCCCCACTCCCTCCCTCCTTCTCTCAATCTCTTTGTCAGACCCAAAGAGGCTGGCATGGTCAGCAACCTCCTTTTTAATTAAGCCCATACCATATTACAGTGTGAGGCCCATATCTTTGGGACCAGTGTCTGTGATTTCATGTATCCAATCCAAATCAAACTGCTCCGCTTCTGTGCGTTTCTTTCTCCCTGGCTGCAAATTATTACAAAATGACATCGCATTAAAAGCTTCTCTCTGCATTATCGATTTGCTGCTCATTAGCAGCCTGTGGCCAATAAAATCGGAGGAGGCTATTTAGATAAGGACCAATAATCTTAAAAGCATTAATGCCCCTCCGGCTGGGACTCGGATCTTAGATCGGTTCAGGACTTCCCACCCAGATAACGGTGACAGATGCCATTTTTAATCGCATGCCAGACTGGGATCAGTGGCTGGGAAGTGAAGTGAAAGAGGAAAGGATAGACTTATCTTCTTAGGAGGCCACTTTTAAAAAGGCAACACTCCTCATCTGTGTTTCAGAGAAAGGTTGCTTTCTCTCTCCCTTAAAAGTAATAGCAAATTACATAACTGAGCATCCTTCTATGCGATTGAGGCACCTCTTAGACTATATCTCCCAGCATCCACAAACAGCATCAACAATTTCTTGTTAAAACCCGGGAGATTAGTGGCTGCCAATCAAACCTGGCCACACTGGCTTCCCTGGATCCCAAGGCAGCTCTCTGTGATCTTTGAAGGAAGGATGGGAACGAGAGCTGAGTGCCTCCTGAGGTTTCCACCTCCTCCTTGGGCCTGGATTTCTGCACAATGTGGAAGCATGAGCTCATCCCACGGGGACATTTTATGGGCTGATTAATATTAGCATTCCTCCGTGCCTGCTTATTTGTCAACATAAATTTCCTTTTTTAATTAAAACATTGGTGGAGGAGGAGGAACGCTTTCAACTCTTGCCTGGTTGGCCAAAAGCCTGGGCTCACATTTTGGAAGGCTGCAACTCTACTCCAATGTTGTAGCACAATTTTGGACACCCTTTTCTCAAGGGTTTGTGGCCAAGGGGGAAGAATTGTGTTTGCCAAATAGGCTTTAAGCCCAAGGCTTGGATGCCAGAGATGCAAAGAGTTGCCAAACTCTTGTAGTTTGGGGAACGGCCACTAAAGACCCAGAGTTTTAATGGGAGAGGCCTCATGAGCAAGGTGGAGGAGTCTCCAACGTCATCATTGCCCAAACAATGGAATTCGGTGGCTTTGATGCCAATGTGGTGACCAATCTGTTCTGGATTTTAGTCTGGCCATTACAGGGACGACTTCAAAGGTGGCCATCCAATTTCTGCTGTAGCACTGTTTCAGCTGACCCATTAATGCACTAACTTAAAAACTATATTTCAGAAAGATGCCAAGGTCACTTTAAAAAAATCTAATTTATCGCCAAATTGAGCATTTGGAAGGAGCAATAAACTGTTGAAGCAGGTGTAGGGAATTGCCAGAAAATAGTTTGGGACAAGAAATCTGGCATCAGAGGCAGTGATGGGTAACTTTATGACACTGGAATGATGTCACTGACATGATGAGTTAGAGAAAGGCACAACTGGGTCTGGTGCAAGATGTTCCATTATGCTGTGGGAGGCTCAATGTGTCTCAATGGGCAATGCATCCCAACTTTGCATCAGGATGTGCAAATGAGTTACGCATTTGGGACAGGTTCAAATTCATAACCATGCTTTCTGTCTTCATTTCTGGTAAGGAAGGGGAGGAAGTGGGAGACAGTTCGGATGAAGAAGGAGCAACTGGTCTCAGATAGGAGGGAAAAGCAACCAAGATGGAGCTTGAAAAGCCAGGTCCAATAACACCAGCAGCAAAGCATGACTTGGCTGGTACTGGTGCTCCAAGGAGCTGATGGCTTCTTCTCCTTCCTCATAAGGACAATGCCAGATCCTGGAAGCATCTCCCCACTCACTTCTTGGTCACGAATCAGCCGCAAGAAGCATCTCGAAGAGTCATCCCATATGAGGAAGGAGAAGCAACCATCAGCCAGCCTTGTGCCATGATTATATTTGCAGACCTGAATGTTTAGGATGAACTTAAGAAAGAAGACACAATAGCCGGCCTGTGCAACATATATTTTTTCATATAGGTTAATCTTTCTGAAGCTTTTCACACCATCAAGAATGATTGCGTTACAATTATTGTTAACGGGAAAGGGAAAAGAAGGCCAATGTTTGTACATGGAGTCCCAGGATTGATGGCTCTCCTTCGCATCACAGGTTGTTCTTGTCAAGTTTTCTATCAAGACCCAGTTTCTCCGAAAGCCTCAAATCCCATCTAGACCTTACTGGTTTGCATGTGTCCATTGGATTCAACACTTCTCTGCAAAAGCATGGCTTCCTGCAAGCGGCTGCTCTTCTCTCGCTGCTGTTCGGTTGGATCTCCATCTTCAAGCCCACTGTCAGCATGGAGGCACAGGACTTTCTGAAAACTCTGCTTGAAGTTGTCAGACAGGAAGGCATAGAGGATAGGGTTGGCACAGCTGTTGGCGTAGGAGAGGATCACCACAAAGGAGAAGACCCCCACCAAGACTGGCTCCTCCGGCAAGATGAAGATCAAGTTGACAATGTTCAAGACATAGAAGGGGAGCCAGCAGAAGATGAACACCACCACGATGATGACCACCATCCGGGTCACTTTTCTCTCGGTCCGCCGGCGCCTGGTGGACCCGACTCGGATCCCGGATGACTTGACCTTGATGACAATGAGCAGGTAGCAGAGACAGATAACCAACAGTGGTCCGAAGAAGCCCAGAACAGAGGTGTAGATGATGAACACGGCGGACCATATCTCAACGGGGTCTGGCCAACTCATGTTGCAGGTATGGAGGGTCTCCTGGACATCGGCAAAGATGATCATGGGGAGGACCACCAAGAAGGAGAAAGTCCAGACCGCCAGGCTGATCAGCTTGGCGACCTTTGGGCGGCGCCATACGGTTGACTTGAGGGGGTGGACCACAGCGAGGTAGCGGTCCAGGCTCATGACGGTCAAGCAGAAGATGCTGGTGAACTGGTTAATGCCATCGAATGCAGTCACTAGTCGACACATGGAGGTTCCAAAGGGCCAGTAAGAGATGGCATTCTGGGTTGCCAGGAAAGGCAAGCCCAGCATGAAGAGGACATCGGCAATGGCCAAATTCAAGATGTAAATGTTGGTCACCGTCTTCATCGTGGTGTAACGCACGACCACGTAAATGACCAAGGCATTGCCACTGAGTCCTATGGCGCAAACTAGGAGATAGATGATTGGGATGAAGATGGAGCGGATGTCGGAAGAAGGGAAACCGGGGAGGGTTGTGTTCGCTGTGGCGTTGGCCCCAAAGGAGATGTTGGCCCCATTCGGAGAGATGCTGGGAAAATACAAGGGATCCATGCTCTTCATCCAGTTCCAGCTTCAAGACAGTCAAAAGGGACTATTCCCAAACATCTTCCCACTGCAGAAAGGGAGAGAAAGAAACAGCCGTGGGTTAAGGCATCGCTTATATATTTACTCAAAAGATGTTTACCCAGATCCAGAAATCTGTTTTTAATGTGCTAAGCATCTGCCTTGTGATGCATCCAACAAACCCAGTCGACAATTACTTACGCATTAAGCAGATGTTCTCTTTTTTGCCAGGTCATCTTCTGCCATTAACAAAAAGGGAAATAGAAGGCACAAAAAACGACAAGATCCTCTCCAAAGCCACAGAGTTTGGGGATCATTCAAAAGAGACAACATGGGGATCGGAATAAACCAAGGGAGTGTTTGTTTACATTTCATGCCAGTATAATATGCATTCATTCATAAAATCTCACCCAACTTGAAAGAATAATAATAATAATAATAGTTCAAAGCATTCATGCATCTGACTGTCAAGCCTGTGAGTCCATCTGGCCAGTTACACGGGTGTAAATCAATTTACATTCCTCTTTTTCCATCTTCTCCAGAGCCATTCCTGTGTGAGCAAAACAAAACAAGCCATTCAACTGGATGGATCGGCCAATTTTGGAGTTTTAGAAGAGCCATCCAAAGTGCTGAATCATATAGGATTCACCCCTTTGGATAATGGATTACTAGAATCTTTCCCACTCAAGGAACTCCCCAGACCTCAATGGGACAGACACAAGGATAGTCATTTTGGCAACAGGTTGTCAGCCCTTGCAAGTAATCAAAAACATTGCAACAAGGCTCTGTTCTGCACATCCAGAGCAAAAACCCTAAAAGCACCAGATTTTATCTGATCTGGAGGCTAAGCAGGGTCAGCCTTGATTAGTCTTTGGTTGGAAGACTAAGAAGAAATCCAAGGTGCTTTTAGCAAAATTTTAGCACTGACAAAAGCACTGACAAAACAACCTCTATTCCTTGCCTAGGGAAATGTTGGGCACTTTTAGTACCATGTCATAAATAGATCCAAACCTGGTTCCTTTCCCCTCTCAAATGCTGCAGATGACAACATCCAGAACATGGGAGAGGTGGCTTTTTGGACAGCCGCTCCCAGCATCCCCAAAGAAAAACCTTCCCCAATCCGAAAAGGACCATTAATGAATCCAGGGAAATATTTTAAAGGAAAGAATTGGCCACACCACCTCTGAGTCTTCCTTGCCCAAGAAAAGCAATAAATTGACAGACTTGAAGCCACAGACAAAGAGAAAACATACACTGGTATATAAATCACCATCCCTGAATATGGCATGTTTGCTACATCTCCCATAGTAATACTTAGGCAAACGTCAGAGTATTATTATTATTATTATATTTATTTATACCCCGCTATACTTCAATTTTCCTATTCATAGTTAATATATTGAAAGGTAGGGCTACAACTCTGGAGACCAGGGTTCGAATCCCTGCAATCCACTGGGTGAGTCACACTCTCTCAGCCTCTGAACAAACCTTGCCAAGGAATCCCCATAATATAGGGTTGTCATAAGTTGAAAATGGCTTGAAGACACACAACTAAAACATAAAAGGGAAATGGACTTAATGGAAGCTATGGTTTGTAAGATCCGAGTAAGTCAGTTGCAAACCAGGGCTTTTTGAGTTCATGCTTTCATTGTGTTGCTAATGGCAAACACATGTAGCATATCCTATTTTGCAATAATATTGGAAGGGAAAGTATTTCACATTTGGACTGACATTTGGAGTTTGACCATTATTTCCTTCTCACTTCCAGGATGAATAAATAATATACCCCAAGACAAAAAAAAAACAAAAACCCTCTTAGTCCCATTAGATAGGTGGAAAATGGGAGAAGGCAGGGAAGATGAGAACGAGCTTGTTGCATTTTGGAAATGCATCGCCTCATGCCTCTGTTTTGCAAGGATGGCCAGATGCCGACCTTTATAGACCGGCTTTGAAGAGCAATCGGAAACCTGCTCCAAAAGCCCAAAAGCTGCAGACAAGGCATAGGGTTGCATGGTTTAAGCAAACTTGAGTCCCTCCGGAGAGAGATGGTACATTATAAATAAAGTATTATTAATATTATTTACAGGGCCCCCCAGATGTCATCTAGTCCAACCACAAGCCAATGTAGGAAAGTCATACCTTAAGCATCCCTAGAGCAACAAACAGAAAACCACAATCAGGGCCAGCAAACACCTCCCAACAAAGGATTCCCCCAGGCGGGAAGCAGCCAGAGCTTGAAGCTGAAAGGCCATTCAATGCTAATCAAGGTGGCCAATTGCAACTTTCACACTGGCCTCAAACAGACAAGAGTTCTTTCTCCCACCCTGGACATCATTCCACAGATATATAAACCCCATTTGCCTAGTTTCCAACAGAAACTAGGCAAATGGAGAATGCCTGCCATGAGAATGCCTGCCATAGATGTGGGTGAAACGTCAGGAGAGAATGCTTCTGGAACTTGTCCAGACAGCCTGGAAAACTCACAGCAACCCAGTGATTCCAGCCATGAAAGCCTTTGACAACAGCACCAGTAATCATTTCCTACTTTAACCAGCTTGGGAGTTGTAGTTTTCCAAAGTCTTAAGCCATCTCAGCCCAAGATCTTGGGTGCCTCACCAAACTACAACTGCCTGAACTCCATAGCACTGAGCCATGGCAGTTAAAGGTGGCGTCCCCGGTGGCACAGTGGGTTAAACCCTTGTGCTGGCAGGACTGAAGACCAACAGATCACAGATTTGAATCCAGGGAGAGCGCGATGAGCTCCCTCTGTCAGCTCCAGCTCCCCAAGCGGGGACATGAGAGAAGCCTCTCACAAGGATGGTAAGACATCAAAACATCCAGGTGTCCCCTGGGCAACGACCTTGCAGACGGCCAATTCTCTCACACCAGAAGCGACTTGCAGTTTCTCAAGTCGCTCCTGACACGAAAAAAAAGGCAATTAAAGTGCTGTCAAACTGCATTAATTCGACAGTATAGATGCATCCCTTGTTATTTAAAGCATAACCATTGATCTCATTGGCTCTGGCTCATTGTTCCAAAAGCAGAAGCAGAATGCAACTGCATCCCGATAATTTCCATCATAACACATTGTGATGATGTTTAAGTCTTTGCCGCTTTTGAGTCTCCTTTGGGAGATAAAAGGCGGGTTATAAATACAAATAGTAATCATCATAATACTACTAATAGTAATAGTTGAGTAGCTTGCATTGCAAAATATGAAGAACTCCATTGGATCGTCTACAAAAGAGATAAAGTGTTTGTCTGAGGTTCCAAAAATCTCTATGGTTTTGGCCAGGCTTGGTTTTCTAACTAAGGTAATAATAATAATAATAATAATAATAATAATAATAAAAAAAAATAATTGCTTGTCAACACAGACAACTCCCTTCCGAAATGGGGCATTGTTTCTTTTTTCAAACAAGTAAACAACAACAACAACAACTTGTAAGAACAGCTTTCTTTCAAAGCAATAATAATAATAATAATAATAATAATAATAAATTGCTTATCAGCACAGACAAATCCTTTCCAAAGGGGGGCATTGTTTCTTTTTTAAATAAGTAAACAACAACAACAATAACAACTTATAAAAACAGCTTTCTTTCAAAGCTATAATAATAATAAATTGTTTATCAACACAGACAACTCCCTTCCAAAATGGGGCATTGTTTTTTAAACAAGTAAACAACAACAACAATGCGTAAAAACAGCTTTCTTCCAAAACTATAATAARAATAATAGTAATAATAGTAATAATGGTAAATTGCTTCTAAACACCCTTTCTCTTCCTTCCTTCTCCCTTTCCCCCCTCTTCTTTTGAAAKCCCCCCAATTCCATATGAGAAAAAAAGAAAATCAAGGAGCACGCTAGCTTCCTTCGAAAGTCGTGGGCCATTTTCCCCCTCCCACGCAGGATTCCTTTCCACGCGTGGATTCTTTCCTTTGGATTTTAGGGAAGGGGATTCGACTCAAAAGCCCCTGGAATGGCTTTACCTGCTGACCGAGCCCGATCTCTTCTCCCGCGGATGCTCCACGATCCTTCGCCCGAGTGGCGTGGAAAGAGGGAAAGGAACCTGAAGGGGGCGGGGCTTCGGCCAAGGGGCGGGGCCCACGGGGAGATAGGCGGGGTTTGGGGAAAGGGGCGGGGCTTGAGCTATCCACCCAAGGGCACCTCCCTTCAAGGCATGCTTTGAATCCAAGACTCTTGGTGCATATTCGACACCAGGCATGGGCAAACTTGGGCCCTCCAAGTGTTTTGGACTACAACTCCCACAATTCATAACAGCTGTAGGCTGTTAGGAATTGTGGGAGTTGTAGTCCAAAACACCTAAAGGGCCCAAGTTTGCCCATGCCTGTTCTACACTGTAGAATGAATGCAAGTTGATCTACCCTGGCTCAGTGCTATGGGATCCAGGGATTTGCAGTTTTACAAGGCCCTGAACCTTCTTTGCCGAAGAGTGCAAACCACAACTTCCAGGATCCCCTCTAAAATTACAGCCCCCAGGATTCCTCTCCTGCAAACTCCAACTCCTAGGATCCCATCACAAACTATAATCCCAAGAACCTTGTTGCAGTCTACAATTCACACAATCCCACCACCCACTAAAACTCCAAGCATCCCACGGTAAACTTGAACTCCCAGGATCCTACCACAAACTACAACTCTCAAGAGCCTGCCACAAACTGCAATTCCCAGGATCTTGATGCAAACTACAATTCCCAGGATCATGCCTCAAACTACAACTCCCAGGATTCCACAGCAAACTACAACTCCCAGGATCCTGCTTCAAACTGCAACTCCCATGATCTCACCTCAAACTATAACTCCCAGGATCCAGCTGCAGACTTCAGTTTCCTGGCTCCTGCAGCCAACTAAAACTCCCAGGGTCCTGCAGCAAGCTACAACTCGAAGGATCTCACCACAGACTACAATTCCCAGGATCCTGCTGCAAAATACAATTCCCAGGATCCTACTTCAAAACACCCAGGAACCCTCCATAAAGGACAACTCTCAGGATCTCAATGCAAACTACAATTCCCAGGATCCCGCAGTCTGCCATTCCAGGATCCTGCCCCAAACGACAGCTCCCAAGATCCCACCATAAACAATAACTCCCAGGATCTCACTGCAAACTCCCAGGATCTCACTGCAAACTCCCAGGGTCCCACCACAGGCTATAATTCCCAGGATCCTGCCGCAAATTACAACTCCCAAGATCCTGCTGCAAACTACAATTCCCAGAATCTGGTGCTGCAAACTACAACTCTCAGGATCTCACAACAAAATACAATTCCCAGGATCCTGGTGTCCTGCTACAAACTACAACTCCCAGGATCCTGCTGCAAACTACAACTCACAGCAAAATCCAGTTCCCAGGAAACTGCTGAAAACTATAACTCCCAGGATCCCACCATGAACTACGACTCTCAGGATGCTGTTGCCTTGAGCCATGGCAACTGAAGTGATGAATGCAGTGTGACACCTCTTTATCAGCCATGGCTCAATGCTATGGGATCCTGAGAGTTGTGTGGTTTTGCAAGGTCTTTTGCCTTTGCTGTCCAAGGCCGCTGGTGCCTCACCAAACTCCAACTCCCAGTTGATTGGCTCCCATCCAGCCCAACCTCTCAAATTCCAATCTTTTCAAAACAGATAAATCAATCTCTCTGGACTCCTCCCTGCACTTAAAACTCCAAAGTCCAAAGGTCTTCAGTAACTGGTGTCTTATTTGCCATCAGGCGGAAATGACCTGAAGATCCACAACGACGATTCCAAACTGCAAATCCCAATGTTTTGTAGGAGTCAAAACAGGTTGGTTGACCAACTGGTGTGCATTGATGTGGTCCGATCCAGTTATATGTTATTTACTAGATTTAAGGACCTCACAATACCTGGATTAGATCCCATGTGATGCTATTTATTAGAAATAGTCATTGTTTGTTTTCGGGTTTTATGAATGGTCCCGTTACAGTGGTTCTCAACCTGTGGGTCCCCAGATGTTTTGGCCTTCAACTCCCAGAAATCCTAACAGCTGGTAAACTGGCTGGGATTTCTGGGAGTTGTAGGCAAAAAAACAGGTTGAGAAGTATGGGATACCTGTGACAACTAGGCAGGGGCGGCTCAACCCATTACGCAAAGTAAGCATTTGCAGTATAGTTGATTTTGCCCAGGGGCGCTCTTGAGGCGCTCTTGGGGTAAAATAGACCTTGACATATGCGAGTTGTAGTTACTGGGATGTATAGTTCACCTACAATCAAAGAGCATTCTGAACTCCACCAATGATGGAATTGAACCAAATATGGCACACAGAACTCCCACGATGCACAGAAAATATATATCAGTGATTGGTTGGGGGGGGGGGGGGGCGCCAAAATACTGTTTGTTTACCATTGAAAATTACCTAGGGCCACCTCTGACTACAACTCCCAACATCCAGAGTCAATTCCTTTCCAAACACCAGTACATCTCCATTGTAGAAGGAATGCAGTTTGGTACTCCTTTAACTGCCATGACTCCATGCTATGGGATCTTGGAATTTGTAGTTTGGAGAGGCACCAGCCCTCTTTGGTAGAGAAGGCTAAAAGGTCTGCAAAACATACTTGTTCAGTGAAACCGTGAGTCCCAAGTTCTATCTACACTGTGGAATGAATACAGTTTGATGCCACTTAAAGTGCTTTGGATCCATGCTATAGAATCCTGGGAGTTGTAGTTTGGTGAGATGGCAGGTCTCTTAACACTTTATAAAGCTATGACTCCCCTGATGCCATATAGCATTGAACCATGGCAGTTCCATTGGTGCTCAGTTGCATCCATTCCGCAACGTAGATGCTGGGAGAATAATAATAATAATAATAATAATCATCATCATCATCATCATCATCATCATCTTAAAAAACAGAGTTGCAATTCCAGGTGACAGCAGGATTGAAGAGAAATAACTGGAAAAGCTGACACGATATGAGGATTTAAAGATTGAACTGCAAGGACTCTGACACAAACCAGTAACGATGGTCCCAGTGGTGATCGGCACACTGGGTGCAGTGCCTAAAGACCTTGGCCTGCACTTAAACACAATCGGCGCTGACAAGATTAACATCTGCCAGCTGCAAAAGGTCACCCTTCTGGGATCTGCACGCATTATTCACCGATACATCACACAGTCCTAGACACTTAGGAAGTGTCCGACATGTGATCCAATACAACAGCCAGCACAGTGATCTTGTTGTGTTTCAAATAATAATAATAATAATAATAATAATAATAATAATAATACATATTTATTTATATCCCGCTTTTGGAATCATAGAGTTGGAAGAGGTCTTGTGGGCCATCCAGTCCAACCCTCTGCCAAGAAGCAGGAAAATCACATTCAAATCACCCCTGGCAGATGGCCATCAAACCTCTGTTTCAAAGCCCCCAAAGAAGGAGCCTCCAGCCGCTTTTCTCCCTTAGGGGACCAAAGTGGTTTCCCCTCATGGGACCCAAAGTGGGATTTGTAGTTTGGCAAGGCCTCAGAAGTCTGTGACAGAGCTTGCAAAACTAAATTGAAAAAATAATTTAAATTCAGAGAAGCAAAAGAAAAACTGTATAGTTACATAAAAGTAACATATAGAATATACAAACCAGTTGAGATTGTTTTCAAAATGACACAGCTATATTCAGTCAAATAGAACTACAAACATGACAACTGCTTAAGCAGCTGAGGGGGACAAGGAAAGGGCCAAAAACACCCGGAGGGCCGAAGTTTGCCCTTGCCTGGTCTAAGAGCTTTGCATTCTCTGCCTTGCAAAACTAACCTTTTAAGTGACAACATGAGCCTCAATCCAAGTGTCTGTTTTTTCAGATATAAAGATATGCAAGTCAAACTGCAAAATGTTCCAACCGTACACACACAAAAAAGCAAGTTACTGTGCTTTCATTGTGATTCCCTTTTCAGAGCTTTCCATGATTCCAAGGAAGAAGAAAAAAAACCCCAAACAGCAGAACTTGGAAGGATGAGAGATTCCAGCAGAAAGATAAATCTTGGCTGCCTTCAGGTTCCTTGGCTGTTACTTCTCGAAAACAGAGAATTAGCGTCATTGCATGAGTGATGGGCCTCGCTCTTCTGCTGTAAGACCTTTGATGAATGGGACTTATGGCAACGGAGGCACTTAGCATGAAATAGTCCAGGCGCTTTGGCCATGTTTCAAGGTGCATCTACACCAGTGTTTCCCAACCTTTTTTTGACCAGGGACCATACTCTAACATTAGTACTAAAAGGGTTCAAATCGGGTTTTGGTCAACTTTAGAATTTTTTTGGTTATTTGGGGTGCTGATTCAGAAAACTGCATTGGCTAGACCACATCAGCTCTAGTTTCTGATACAGAACATATGCCATCCAGTCTTTGCCATCTGTTCACCCACAGGAAACCATATTCAATAAGCTTCATCACCCTAACAGAGTTTTGCAAGACTAGTCGCTCTCATTGCAATGGTGTAGTAACAGTGAGGCTGCGGACCATATTTTTGTTCTTGTGGACCACTGGTAGTCTGTGGGGACCCACTGATCTACACTGTGGAACGAATGAAGCTTGACACCATTTTCTGCGCCATGGCTCAAGTCTATGGAGTCCTGTGAGTCGTAGTTTGGTAGGGCACCAATGCTCCTCGGCAGAGATGGCAAAGGACTTTGTAGAACTACAGCTCCTAAAATTCCACAGCACTGAGCCAAGGCAATAAAAGCGATGTCAAACAGCATCCATTCTACAATGTGTGGCGTAATGTAAGATAAACCACGTGTAGTTCACATTTCATCAGTCCACATACTGCCTTGCCAGAGAAAGAAAATATGCCACGCAGATGAACAACAACAACAACAACAACAACAACAACAACAACAACAACCTTTATTTTTAACCCACCACCATCTTCCCAAAGGGGGCTCGTGGCGGCTAACATGAGGCCAGGCCCAAAATTATGTTGTTGTTGTTGTTCATTTGTTCAGTCGTCTCCGACTCTTCGTGACCTCATGGACCAGTCCACACCAGAGCTCCCTGTCGGCTGTCACCACCCCCAGCTCCTTCAAGGTCAGTCCAGTCACTTCAAGGATGCCATCCATCCATCTTGCCCTTGGTCGGCCCCTCTTCCTTTTGCCTTCCACTTTCCCCAGCATAATTGTCTTCTCTAGGCTTTGCTGTCTCCTCATGATGTGGCCAAAGTACTTCAACTTTGTCTCTAGTATCCTTCCCTCCAATGAGCAGCTGGGCTTTATTTCCTGGAGGATGGACTGGTTGGATCTTCTCACAGTCCAAGGCACTCTCAGAACTTTCCTCCAACACCACAGCTCAAAAGCATCGATCTTCCTTCGCTCAGCCTTCCCTAAAATTATACAACAAAATTATACAACATAATAAACACACAACAAAATACATCATAACAAAATATAAAGTAACAAATAAAATCAACAATATAAAACAACATAATAAAATCCCCCAATATAGAACAAGTAGTTTACTCTTTGCAGTTCAGAACAACATATGTACAATGTGATCAGTTGTATCAACTCACATAATTTCTTTTTTAATAAGAGATTTAAAATGGTCTTTCTTTGTCCATTTGGATAAACTCCTTCAGGAGCTCATGAAGCAAGAACACACTCCAAAACTCTGTCTCGCTCTTCTTTCTCTCAGTGCTTTTCTCAGCAGCTGCATAGCTCAAGCCTGAACAAAATGTAACAGTAACCAAAAGTCCCAGACTCAGCCTGCTCTACGTGCATTACCCGACCAATCAGCTTCATGCATCTTATTTTACACACACACATTAACTGATTCCTTGCATTCTCCAACACAATGTACATGCCCTCTCAAAGTGGGATCAAACTTCATTAACTCTGTGATGTAGATGCACCCTTAGAAACGCAGTTGGCGCAAACCTTGCATCAGAACCCTTCCCACTGAGTCCAAGAGAGAAGCTACATCCTGGCAAACTGAAAAGTAATACTTTCCATCTTAAGGATTTTTAAATGGAAGGGATACCATTTCTTGGCTTACTTGCTTAGAATTACAAATTGAACATCCCTTCTCCAGAGTTCCTAAATCCAAAATGCTCCAAAACTCAATATTGTCTTCCAATTGTGGCTGAGAGAGTGACACTCTTAGCTCTCCGATGGTTCAACGTAAGCAAACTTTGTTTCAAGAGGAAGCAGGGGAGACGAGAAATGATGTTTTGAAACCAATATCCTTTGTTCTCCTCAAAAAATTTCAGGTCCCAATTTTTTAATTTTTTAGTACAGATCATGTATTCCAAAATCTAAAATTGTTCCCATGGATTGGCTGAGATAGTGACACCTTTGCTGTATGAAGAGCCAGCATGGTTTAATGGTTTGCGCGTTGCACTCACAGTCCTGTGATAAGGTCGCCATACGTTGGCAGTGATGTGAAGGCATATTAAAGCACAGGAATGCAGAATGTATATTTATAGGTGTGCCGAAATATATACCTGCGTCATTTGTTGGTGGCACCTGGCGTTTGTGCAACAGTGCCCATTCCTCCTTCGTGTCATGTTGCAATCCTCAAGGGAGTGAATTAAGAAGAAGAAGCAGCAGTGATGGTAGGGACGACTGATGATGATTGATCTGTTTACGTCTTCCGCTCTGAGGATGAGAGCCTCTCGTCTTCTTCCCTTGGCATGGAGTGGCAGCCAATGAAATGATAATCGCCTCTTTTGGGGATAATGCGCCCAATTATGTGCACAGAATTAACTCCAGGCGGTTTCAGGTGTCGCTCCCCCTGGCCCACATGCCAATCTCCACATTCCTTCTGGCATTATGAGATGGAGACTCGGAAGTCAATGGAACAGTACATTCGCTCCGGGTTTCAGTGCGAACTCTCTGATGGCAGAAGGAAAACGTGCCAATGTGATCCATAAAGGACCCAGGATGGTGGCCAGCTCCAAAGTTAGTACGATGGCAGTTTTAGAAGGAGCTAAAACCTTTGGGAAACAGCTTTCAGCAGAATTAATGCAGCTTAGCATCAATTTGAGGATGCATCTATACTGTGGAATTAATGTAGTTTCACATTGCTTTCATTGCTTTGGCTCCATGCAATGGAATTCTGAGAGTTGTAGTTTTGCAAGGTCTTTAGTTTGCTCTGCCCTTCTAGTGCCTCTCCAAATTACAAATCCCAAACTGTGAGACCCTTCAAGTTCTGACTAAAACCCACTGCAGATATGTTTCCCTTCTGATGCAGAGATCCATGAACCACCACAAAAGAAGTGCTGTTTCTGCGGGTTTGGGATACCTTTGGGTTCAGCACTAACGACAGCTCCTGTAACGTTCGGACTAAAACCTGTATTGGGTATGTTCTCCTGTTGAGATGGCAAGACATGATTCGGCACAAAGGGACCTCAGGCTGATGTCTCCAGCCTCCAAATTGGATTTACATCTATAAATGCTTAATAGGAGTTGAGCGAATGCCTCGATCATTGCTAACACGCTTAGCGGGGAGGTGTCTGAGCGGAATGGGTTCCTGGGCTTAGCAGATGGTTGCTTTATTAACCCACGTGAGCAAAATGCAAAAGGGATGCTGGTATGGCATCTACAATGAACTGGGACAGCCTTTGCCATGCAGTAAGACTTTGGCCCATTGGGGTCAGGGAGCATCAATCTCAATATATGAATTCACACCAAGAGTTAGCATGTTATGCAAGTCCCCATAATGTCATTGTGGAGTTCTGAATTCTGTACTGACCACATGGTAGTTTATTTATTTATTGTATCAGAAATGAACCAAGGGTACAACTGTAATGCAGTAAAAAAAACTCACGAAGTTTAAAAATGTGGCATTATATTAGATGTTCTTTGACCAGTAGCTGGCCACTTGAATTTGAATGGTGGTGGGGTTGGGGGCAGATTGATTTTGTCATTTGGGAGTTGTAGTTGCTGGAATTTATATTCACCTACAATCAAAGAGGGGCCGACCAAGGGCAAGATGGATGGATGGCATCCTTGAAGTGACTGGACTGACCTTGAAGGAGCTGGGGGTGGTGACGGCCGACATAGAGCTCTGGCGTGGGCTGGTCCATGAGGTCACGAAGAGTCGGAGACGACTGAACGAATGAACAACACAATCAAAGAGCATTCTGAACTGCATCAATGATGGAATTAAATCAGACTTGGCACATAGAACTCCCACTACCAACAGAAAATACGGGAAGGGTTTGGTGGGCACTGTCCTTGAGTTTTGGAGTTGTAGTTCACCTACATCCAGAGAGCACTGTGAACTCAAACAATGATGGATCTGAACCAAACTTGGCACAAATACTCAATCTGCCCAAATGTGAACACTGGTGGAGTTTGGAGAAAATAGACCTTGACATTTGGGAGTTGTACTTGCTGGGATTTAAAGTTCACCTACAATCAAAGCATATTCTGAACCCCACCAATGATAGAATTGGGCCAAACCTCCCACACAGAACCCCCATGACCAACAGAAAATACTATGTTTTCTGAAGATCTTTGGTGACTCCTCTGACACTCCCTCATGACCCTCCCAGGGGTCCTGACCCCCAGGTTGAGAAATGCTGGGCTAAACAGTATAATTTCTCCAGTGGTGTTGGGCGCAGTCATCCTGTGATAATGTGACATGCCTCCTGAAAAGCCACATCCACTGTTTTAGCGTGGTGAGATGTGTTCCACACTGGGCATGTATAGTCAGCAGCAGAGGAGCAAAGCGCAAGGGCAGATATCTGGTTGTGATCCAGCTGTAGTTGTTTGCTGTCAAGTCATTTCGGACTCATTTCGATGGCCCTAAGATAAACCTATTAAGGGATTTTGTGAGGCTGTGAGTATGTGACTCAATAATTCATTCCTGGAATCCATTAATTCACTCGCTGGAACACTTCAGCAAGTAAGAGTCCAAAAGTGGCAGGCTAAAACCCAGCACCTCCATCCATGTTGATATCAAATGAGAGACTCCCCCCTGGGTACACAGATAACTGGGTGATTTGGAAGGTGCTGAACAGACTGCGCTCTGGCACCACAAGATGGAGAGCCAACCTTAAGAAATGGGGCTATAAAGTGGAATCCTCGACATGAGAGTGCGGAGAAGAGCAAACCACAGACCACCTACTACAATGCAACCTGAGCCCTGCCACATGTACTATGGAGAACCTCTTATAGCAACATCAGAGGCACTCCAAGTGGCCAGCTACTGGTCAAAGGACATTTAATAGAATGTCAAATTTGCAAACTTTGTGTGTGTGTGTTTTTTTAAAAAAAATATAATACAACTGTCTGGTTTGCTCCTGACACGATAAATAAATTAATTCATTCCAAACCAGTTGAAGGTCATCCATCCCCTTCCAAAGCTAGTCTTGATGCTTCCATTTTTCTTTGCAGTTCAAATCAAAATGGTGGCAGTTTGTATCAGTTGCTGTCACCATTTTGAGAAAGTATGCAGAGGAAAATAGAGGTATTTGGGAAAGTATGGGTTTTGGACTTCTTTGGGGGTATTTTAAGACCTTTCGTGCCTTTGGGAGGTTTCTGACTGGATTGAGGGCAAAGATTGCTCCAGAATTGCTCCGTATGTTTTCAAAGCATATTGGGAGTTTGGGATGGCTTTGGAGAATGTATTTAGATTTCAGAGACCACATAAAATGAGGTCCAGGAGTTATATGCAATCTATATGTTGCATTAAACTCACCACTGTTGTGTGTGTATATATATAGACAGACAGAAAGACAGATATATAGATAGATAT